TTTCTTGGCATAGACGAGTGAGCACTTCAGTGCTACATCCATTTGTTGAAACATCTCAATTGATAGTCGGTCAATCCCTGGAAACTTGTTTTTCGCCAGTATCTTCAGTGCAGCTTGGACTTCTTCAGTACCATCGGTTTTTGATCATGTGCTGCCTCCTGAAATGGTTGAACATCAACCAGTTCCTTTTGGTACAGTGACTCTATGTATTCCTTCCATCTTCCTTTGATGCTTCGTGCATCATTCAATATTTTGCCCATAGAATCCTTTCATATTGCAACTCAAAGCTTGAATCTTTTCTTCAGTACTTTCAGCTTGAGAAATGCTGAGCATGTTCTTCCCTTTTGGTTTTCTATCTCCAGGTCTTTGCACATGTCATTATAATACTTTATCTTCTCGAGCTCCCCTTTGAAATCTTCTGTTCATCTCTTTTACCTCATCATTTCTTCCTTTTGAGCTAACTACTCAACATTCGAAAACAAGTTTCAGAGTCTCTTCTGACATCCATTTTGTTGTTTTCTTTCTTTCCTGTCTTTTTAATGACCTCTTGCTTTCTTCGTGTATGATGACCTTGATGTCATTCCACAACTCGTCTTGTTTTTGGTCATTAGTGTTCAATGTGTCAAATCTCTTCTTGAGATGGTCTCTAAATTCAGGTGGGATATACTCAAGGTCATACCTTGGCTCCCATGGACTTGTTTTAATTTTCTTCAGCTTCAACTTGAACTTGCATATGAGCAATTGATGGTCTGTTACACAGTCGGCCACTGACCTTGTTCTGATAGATGATGTCGAGCTTTTCCATCATCTCTTTCCACAGATGTAGTCAATTTGATTCCTGTGCATTTCATCCAGCGAAGTCCACGTGTATGGACATCATTTATGTTGTTGAAGAAAGGTATTTGCAATGAAGAAGTCGCTGGACATGCAAAATTCTATCATGCGATAGCCGGCATCCTTTCTTTCACCAAGGCCATATTTTCCAACTACTGATCCTTCTTCTTTGTTTCCTACTTTCACATTCCAATTACCAGTAATTACCAATCCATCTGATTGCATGTTTGATCAATTTCAGACTGCAGAAGTTGATAAAAATCTTCAATTTCTTCATCTTTGGCCTTAGTGGTTGGTGTGTAAATTTGAATAATAGTGGTATTAACTGGTCGTCCTTGGAGGTGTACGATATTATCCTATCACTGACAGCGTTGTATTTCAGGATAGATCTTGAAATGTTCTTTTTCATGATGAATGCAAAGCCATTCCCCTTTAATTTGTCATTCCCGGCATAGCTGACCATATGATTGTCTGATTCAAAACGGCTAATAACAGTCCATTTCAGCTCAGTAATGCCTAGGGTATCGATCTTTGTGTTCCTTTCCATTTTTGACAATTTCCAATTTTCCTAGATTCATACTTCATACATTCCATGTTCCGATTATTAATGGATGTTTGCAGCAGTTTCTTCTCATTTTGAATAGTGCATGGACAGATGGAATTACAAATGTTGACTTGTTTCTTAGAAATAAAAAAATCATTGTTGTTATTGTTCTTAGTTGTCATTGAGTCTATTCCAACTCATGGAAACCCCACGTGTGCAGAGTAGAACTGCTCCATAGGATTTTCAAGACTGTGACTTTTCAGAAGCAGGTGACCAGGCTTAGTCTTCAAGGCACATTTGAATGGGTTCAAACCGCTAACATTTCAGTTAGTAGTCAAGCACTTGACCCATTTGCTCCACCCAGGGAGTCCTAAGAAAAAAGGCATACCTCATACTAAATATATCCCCACATGAAAGATAGTCAAATTGGATGTTGTGATACTAAAAAGGATGACACTTTCTTAGGATTCTGTGTGAGGCACAAGAACGTGAATTATGGACAAAGGACTGGGCTTAGCACAAGAACATTTTGGCAAGCAGAAAGTTCCACAGAGAACTTTCAGTCCTATTGACAGTCCCCACATTAGACCATGATGTCCTAGGAGGGTTTCTAGCTAACAAAAAATATTTGTTAGCTGAAGTTTTTCAGAGTGACCACTTAGAATGGAAAAGCTTAACCTTTCTGTAAAATATTTTATAATACAGTAATTAAAAACAAATATCATTACCTATTTGAGAGAGCATGGTTGTAGTTAAGTCATAGTTCATTGAGAGGTATCTGTTGTCAGTATTTAGTCTGTATGTTCCTTATAAACACTAGCAAATAGATTGTTACATTATGGTGAGTTGGCAAAGATTTCTATACCTGGACTGATAGTCCGTGATTCTTTCGTCAGTTAGAACAGGTCTTCTTGCCTATTATTTTTCTTAGAGCCCCTTGTTCCTCGGACTGTAGATGAAACTGTTCAGCATGGGAGTCAACACAGTGTACATCACAGTAGCTGTAGTGTCATACTCAGCTAAGTGAGAGGATGAAGGGTTGAAATACACAATAATGATGGTGCCATAAAAAAGGGAAACCACAGCCAGGTAGGATCCACAGGTGGTGAAGGCTTTCCATGTTCCCTTTGTGGATGGGACTCTCAGGACAGCACAGGTGATGGAAATGTAGGAAACCAGGATGCAAACAAATGGGGTGATCATTATCAGGGTCCCCTCAGTAAGAATCATCATCTCATTGAGATGTCAGAGCAGGAGAGTTTCAGGAGAGGAGTCACATCACAGAAGGGGGGGGATTGTGTTGTCTGCACATAACGAGAGTTGAGCCATCAGCAAGGTATGCAACAGAGCATTCAGACTGGCAATGACCCATGACTCAGCAACCAGCAGGGCACGGAGATGATGGGTCATCTTTGTTAAGTAGTGTAAGGGGTATCGCACAGCAACAAAGCAGTCATAGGCCATCACAGCCAGGAGGAAATTGTCCATGTTAGCAAACTCAAAGAGAAAGTACATCTGTGTGAGACACCCAGAGAAGGACATAGTCTGACACCCGAGTGTATGATTGGCTAGCATCTTGGAGATGATAGTGGAGGAGACACAGACATCCATGAAGGACAGGTTGCTGAAGAAGAAGTACATGGGGGTGTGCAGGTGGGAGTCTGCACTGATGGCCAGGATGATGAGCAGTTTTCCCAGGACTGTGACCAGGCATATGCTCAGGAAGAGCATGAAGAGGAGCTGCTGCTGCTGGGGCTGTGTACAGAGCCCCAGAAGGAGGAACTCCGAGACACTGGACTGGTTTGCCCCACTCATGGGCATAAAACCAGGTAAATGCACAGCAGCAAATTCAGAAACCTAGACACAGATGGTTACGATATGACAAATCAAGCTTCAGGTTGAAACACATCTTCAAATCAGATAATAGTGTTGTTAAGATACAATCAGTCATCCAAATTATACAGCCAGTCTCCAACACTCAATCCTGATGCTATTCCTACTGGAATCACTGAAACTTATTTTGTATATTTAACATTGAAAAACACAAAGGCATATACGCAGCCCAACTCTGACTGTCTCTGCTTACATGTCCCAGTTTCCACTCCCGAGTCCTTAGTTGTGTCTAAAGAGACAAGAGAAACAGCTGATTGTTACCGGGTTTATCACAAGTTCTAGCTGATGAATGCAGGACTCCTATTACTGCCTGGATCTTGAAGAAGTTCATGTCCTAATAAACACAAATGGATGTCTCCTCTTCTGTAATCTTACCGAAGGAGGTTGGTTCTGTAGCTATCATGAGTTCTTCACCTCTGCATAACCGGCCAATGCTTCTCTTTATTGTGAGGATTGGAAAGTCTTGGACATACAGGCAGATCCTGAGCAAGTGAGGAGCAGGCATTCACGTTCGTAGTCTTCTCAGGAGGAAGGATGTTTGGGGGAATCACAGAGCATCCATTTACAGGCATCTCCATGACCTCTGGGAAGAGATTGCCTGGAGCCTCACTAGAGACAAAAGGAGAGGAATTGTCCCACCTACTTTTGACCCCTTTGGACCAAACAATGATGACAAAGATTACCTAAGGTTTCGATGTAACTTTTGGGTCAAAACTTGAAAATATTAGACATGGAGCCATCTTGGTGGAGACAAATCCCAGATAAAATTCTGGGAGGCCTCATGGAGGAGGAGGTGATCTTTGACTTGGTTTTCAAAGGTATGCAGCAGGGAGAGGATTGTTAGCCTGAGAAGAGAACAAGGGGAGTTGGTCTGGGCAGAGGGAATAGCAACTATTGATATTTTTCCTTGATATCAAAGACATCACCCTGGCTGGACCTGCCCGTCAAAGTCAGGAAGCCAAGCCAGATGGTCATGAAGGATTTCCACAGTTCTGTGCTTCTTCACCCCTTGGTGTTCTGGGCCACAGTGCCCACTAGGGTCTCTGCTTCTCGTTTGAAATGTCATTACCTACTTGAGTCCTCAGATTTGACCCTGCCGTTCTTTTGACTCGGTCTCAAAACAAATTTGTGAGGGCTTTTGAGACACAACCTTACAATTGACCATCACCAAGGACACATAGAAAGGAGGAAAAGATAGACCAGTGACTCTTGACCCTGACAGTGCAATAGAATTACCTGGGAATTTCCTTAAACTATCAATGTCTGGCTGACTCCGGAGATTCTGATTTATTTGGTCAGTGCTGGGGACTGGACAACAGGATGTGTGCAAAACTTCCCAGGTGATTCTAATATTCAAAGATTATTGTATCATGTGTCTTTCCAAACAGATCACCGAAAAAGGAAAACTTTGGGTGTAAAATAATTCAAAAGTTAGTAATCAAAAAGAAGTCTCATGACTTGGCATACACAGCAGGGTTACAGGTGAATCTGAGTCTACTAGTAAATAAGTAACAAGTAATGATAGCCTTCTATGTGCCCCTAGTAATATATTTGTTTCCAGATTAGCTTTGACAGAACAACTGCTACCTACTCAACTGGTGAAAAAGAACTTTACTTGGGAATGAGATTCAACATTAATGCTTTTGTTGGGTAGAAAATCTCTTTCTGCCAATCACTTTTCTTAGGGCCCCTTTCAAATCCTTGTTCCTGAGGCTGTAGATGAAAGGGTTCACCATGGGGGGGTCTCTACTGTATGCATCACAGAAGCTGTGATGTCTTTCTCAGCTGAGTGGGAGGATGAAGGGTTGAAATACACAGCAATGATGGTGCCATAGAAGAGGAAAAGCACAGCTAGGTGGGAGACACAGGTGGAGAAGGCTTTCCATGTTCCCTCTGTGGACAGGACTCTCAGGACAGCACGGATGATACAAATGTAGGAAACCAAGATGCCAACAAATGGAGTGATCATTATCAGGGCTCCCTCAGTAAGAATCATCATCTCATTGAGGTGTGTGTCAGAGCAGGAGAGTCTCAGGAGAGGAGTCACATCACAGAAGAAGTGGGGGATCATTTTGTCTGCACAAAATGCGAGTCGAGCCATCAACAGGATATGCAACAGAGCATTCAGATTGGCAATGATCCATGACCCAGCCACCAGCAGGGTACAGAGCTGAGGGGTCATTTTTGTTGTGTAGTGTATGGGGTGACACACAGCAACAAACCGATCATAGGCCATCACGGTCAGGAGGAAATCGTCCATGTCCCCAAACACACTGAAAAAATACATCTGTGTGAGACACCCAGGGAAAGAGATAGTCTGACTCTGGAGTATGTGGTCAACCAGTATCTTGGGGACGGTGGTAGAGGAGAAGCAGAGGTCCACGAAGGGTAGGTTGCTGAGGAAGAAGTACATGGGAGTGTGCAGGCAAGAGTCTATGCTGATGGCCAGGGTGATGAGCAGGTTTCCCAGGACTGTGGCCAGATACATGCTCAGGAAGAGCACGAAGAGGAGGTGCTGCTGCTGGGGCTGCCTGGAGAGCCCCAGGAGGAGGAACTCAGAGACAATCGACTGGTTCGCCCTGCTCGTGGGCATCAGGACCTACGTCCAGATGCAGATAAGACAGGGTAATTTTTAAAACCTGGAAAAGGATGGTTGAGATGGGACAATCAAGAAGATCACAATGGGAAATCTCTGTGTGACATAGGTAAGTTGTTAGGATTTTGCCCCCTGGGGGGTTTCAGCCAGCCCCTGGACTTTTCTGAACCTCCATTTCTCCATTAGCAAAATCAATACAAATACTTTTGCACACATAATACCTCTGGTAGGATGATCAAAAAATTGTGAAAGTGGTTTTCTTTGTAGATCCTTTTATACTGCTTCAACTTTCTAATATTGCCATGAATTTTTTTTAGGTAGATGTTTTAAAACACTGTAAATATAAAATATTAATAGAGACTTTTAGACTTGTATCGAGTTATGATCAACACATCAGTGCAATGGTTACCATAGAGACTAACACATAGTAAGTATTTAATGTAGGTGACTGATGTCATCAGTATCATCAGTGATGTTGTCTTAAAGGAAATGGTTAAATTCTCTGAGTTTCATTAGCTTTAATCTGGGCATGGTACACATTCCTAATACATATGCTCAGAGAATTATATCAGCCATCCATCAATCACTGCTTTCTAAGTGTTATTGATAGTATTGCTGCTGCTGTTGCTTCTATCTGGGCTCATGCTTACAGAGACTTTACAGAGATCTGAGTCAGGACTTCTTTGCTGTGCCCATGGAGCTCCCTAAGTCCAATTGGTAAAGTTAAAATGGAAATGACCCAAAGGTACAGGCAGAAACTTAGCCAACTAGTGATGCCCACAGTCCAGGGACTCATAAACAGACAGGACATGCACTGGTCATTCCTGGGTGAACTCAAGGAGCAGCTGATGAGTTTAGAAATGTGGCTTCACTTAAAAGTTTTAGTGAGGAACCCCTCTCTAAGGCTTTCCACCACAACAAGCACTTATTGGTAAAGTCTCCACTGGTTTGACTCTTCCCTGGAAGAACTGCTGTCCTCACTGTCACCAGGAGCCCCAGGCTGATTTCAGTTCTTCAGACCTGGATGGAGGTTATTGGTCAGAAGAACAGGAACTTGTCACTGGGGTTTGCAGGCTAAGTTTGCATGAATGAGAAGATGGAGTGCATGACCTTAGCCCTTGGTGCAGGAAAAGTGTTTGGGGGAATCACAGGGTGAGCACTTTACTGAAGCCTCTATGGCCACTGGGGCCATATTCCCCGAGAACCTCATTAGAGGCAAGCAGAGAGTAATTGTCCCTTCTCCTTGGGCTCTTTCAATCCAACACGAATAATAAAGACCTGTCATCCAAGTTATGTAATTCCTGATGCAGGAGTTGGCATAAATGGAAATGATGCAATCCTGGGGGTAATCACTGGTAACAACCCTTCTGCTACAGAGAACTCACAATCCTATACTTCATACCTCCCCTAGCCTTGGATGATGTCACTGTTGGGAAGTATACATGCAACTATATAAGGATTGTCATGGATTGAGTTATGTCCCCCCAAAAATTGTGTATCAGTTTGGCTAGGTCATGATTCCCAGTGCTGTGTGATTGTTTACCATTTTATCACCTGACGTGATTTCCCTGTGTTGTAAGCACTATCACTGTGATGTAATAAAATGGATTAGCAGCAGTTATATTGATGAGGTCCACAAGATTAGGTAGTATCTTAAGCCAATCTCTTTTGAGATATAAAAGAGAGAAAGGAGCAGAGAGACACGGGAACTTCCTACCACCAAGAAGGCAGTGCCGGGAGCAGAGCATGTCCTTTGGACCCGAGGTTCCTGCGCCGAGATGCTCCCAGACCAAGGGAAGATTGATGACATGGACCTTTCTCCAGAGGCAACAGAGAAAGTGTTCTCCTGGATCTGATGCCCTGAATTTGGACTTGCAGCCTACTGGACTGTGACAGAATAAACTTCTCTTTGTTAAAGCCATCCATTTGTGGTATTTCTGTTATAGCAGCACTAGATGACTAAGACAGGGATTAAGAGTATCTTTGGATTCATGCAAACCTGTACTCAATTCCCAGGTTCACCGTTACCAGTTGCGTGATCTTGGTTGTTGTTGTTAGGTGCCATTAAGTCACCTCTGACTCATAGCAGTCTTATGTATAACAGAAGGAAACGTCGCCCAGTCCTACGCCATTCAAAATACTAGGTATTTTTGAGCCCAACAATGGTTAAGAGCTAGCTTCTAACCAAAAAGTCAGCAGTTCCAATCTACCAGCAGCTCCTTGGAAACCTTATGGGGCAGTTCTACTCTGTCTTATAGGGTCACTGTGAGTCAAAATTGACTCAACGGCAACAGGTTTGGTTTGATTTTTTGTAGTCACTGTGTCAATTCATCTCATTGAGGCTCATTGACCCTCTACTTTACCAAGCATAAAGTCCTTCTCCAGCAATTTGTCCTACCTGATAAAGTGTCCAAAGTAAGTGACCTATCCTCACTGAATGACAACATTTCACCATCTGTAGAGTGGAGAAATAATATTCACCTTGTAGAGCTGTGAAGACTAAATGAGATAATTTATGTCAAGCACCCCATGAGCCCTAACCTCATCAAAGCACTGGACATGGACTAGAACCATGTCCACTAGCTGAAGATTAAAGACGTTAAATGATATTTATATCCTTCGATTTCTGCTCAATCATCTGTGCTTTGGATAAATATTTGAAAATAGTGTCACATGCTTATCTTTGTATGTCAATACTCATTTTTATAAGGGATTAGAACTTAGAGCGTCTGGCCCCACTTAAGGGTCAAAGTCATGCCTGGACCCCCAGCCGCTGAACATGGGCCTCTGCACAGGCCAGAAGATTTGATTCACGCTGGGGAGCCCTGCCTTGATCCACAGTCACCCACAAGCTAGGGCTATTACCCCGACCTTGAGCTTGGGGCTGTTATGGTTCCACTGGGGTATGTCCATCCTTTTGGGGACTGGGATGGGAAGTGACCAGAGCCCCTGCAGAGGCCCTGCCTGCTCCTTTCCACCCGCTCTGGCATCGCAGGACTCCAATTAAAAACTTAGGAGCATCAGAGGCCAATTTGAGACCTTTAAAGATTTGTTTTATTCCTTCTTGAGGGGTTGGATTTTCAGGCCCAGTGCTGAGGTCTCAGGTCCTGTCTTAGTCATCTAGTGCTGCTACAACAGAAACACAACAAGTGGATGGTTTTAATGAAGAGAAGTTTATTTCCTCATAGTCAAAGTAGGCTAAAAGTCCAAATTCAAGGTGTCAGCTCCAGGGGAAGGCTTTCTCTCTCGGCCTTCTCATCAGTGTTCCCCCGGACCAGGAGCTTCTCAGTGCACGGACCCCTGTCCAAAGGAAGTGCTCTGCTCCTGGCACTGCTTTCTTGATGGTATGAGGTCCCCCTGTCTCACTGCTCACTTCTGTCTTTTGTGTCTCAAGACATTGCCTCAGGATACAATCCAATCTTGTGGACTGAGTCCTGCCTTACTAACACAACTGCGGCCCATCCTCCCTCATTAACATCATAGAGGCAGGATTTACAATTTATAGGAAAACCACAGGATACCAGGAATCATGGCCCAGCCAAATTGATACACACATTTTTGGGGGGACATAATTCAATCCATGACAGGTCCTGACCCAGATCTTATGTCTGGGAAAAGAAAAATAAGTACTTCTGTGAACAGACAAGGGCTCGTCTGGGATTTGAACCCAGGACCTCTTGCAACCTAAGCAAGAATCATATCCCTACACCAAGGAGCCACATCAGCTGCTGCCTCTGGCTGCTTTTCATGTGTGGTGTGGCATCCAGCAGCATTATGGCCAAGCCAGCTGGATGGTGCAGGGAGGACACCAGAACCTAGACCAGCCCAGAAGGGGGACATAGACACCGAGGGAGCCCAGCACCCCACCCCTCTCTGCGCTGCACAAAATGGGAGCAGTCCCTGTGTCCCACTATTCGGTGGCCTGACCTACAAAAGAAGGTTGCAGTGAGGACAAAACCCCACGAGGAGTCCCTGGCGCAGGAGGGCAGACGGTCCTACAGAGGGCTTGGATCCAGACCCCTGGAACACGCCCTCCTGGGGTGAATGGTAGAAACAGCCAGGACCCTCCGCCCTAGGTTTAGTTTCCCCCTTCTCACAGTGAGGTTCTCCACAGGGTGCTGCAATTCTGGACAAACACTCAACTGATGTGAGCGTTCAGGAAACGTCAGGAAGCCATGACTGGAGCATGTAAATGGCCAGCTTGGGCCCTAAAATGCATGCTCAAATGTGGGGTTTGAACACACTACCCTAAGATTAAAAGTCTCATGATCTACCTACTGAGCTAGCCGGGCACCTGCATACCACAGGGGTGGTATCTAGCTACTGGTGAGGTGTCCTGAGAGTGGTAGGAAATTGGTCAGGGGATGAATCAGACCTGGGCCCCGGGAATGGTACAGCTATATCCTCCTCAACACCCATCAACCAAAGGCACCTGCAGTCCCTGCAGCAGGGCCGCATGCCAGGACAGTCTGGACAGGCAGATCTGGCTCCAGACATGAGCCTCCAGCTGTTGGTCATGTGCCCCTGTGTCTGAGTGAGACCAGAAGAGCAGGAAGACCCACCCTCTCCACTTACTCGGTTGTGGCGTGTTTCATCACAGCCGAATGTTCGAGACATCCAGGGTCTGGACAGGGGAAAGAAGGACCAAGACCAGGACCCAGCCAGGAGCCAAGCACTTCCCATAGAAGCCTGGTTCTCCCCTTTCTCCCCTCTCTTCACTCAAATGCAAACGATTTTAAGTAAGAAGAGAGCTTGGGTGAACACCTGTGTGTCCAAAGGGAAAGTCATACAAGTCATATCCCCAGAGCAAGGAGCCAGTGCCCAGTTGTTCACGGAGTCCTTAGTTCACCCCCAAGGCCCAACCTTGCTGCCTAGGCTCCAAACAATGGTTGTCCATTGTCTCAGGCTGGGTTCTCAAGAGAAACAAAACCAGTAAAGCTTATATATATAGAGAGAGAGATTTATATCAAGGAAATGGCTCACATAGTTTTTAGAGA